TAAATAGATAGAACCTTTAAAAATTCACATATATTATCCATGACCCTTATATGCATACAGGTATGTTTTTTTCTTATTTATTCATTCATCCTTTTTACTGGGTATAAATGTAGCATCAACAAATAAGTCAATAAATATAATATGGTGCTATAAAAAAACCTTATAAATAACTTATCATTGGGAATATGTTACTATCTACCAAGAAATGCTTTTATTTCTATATTTGTTTTGATTATGAGTCCTAAATTCCAATACAATTGAATAGATGGTCTTTATTAGGAGGATTTAAAAATTTTTTAATCTATATATTTATTAGATTAATAAGCCCTCATAAAATGAATCAAATAAAAAGAGAAAAGTGCTTCATCTTGAAAATTATAGATATTTCACTGTCATAACAATGTGAAAGGTATAGTTCTAAATTTTACTAGCACTGTGTGGTGTTAATATTTCCTGATAATTAGATCTTGCACAAATAACTGCTATTAAAATAAAGACGCTAATGTGTTATATGGTGGAAAATTGGACTTCACAGTAGCAAAGAATAAATTGAACTGTGATAAGGTCAACCACAAATGCATAAAAGTATATGAACTAGCCTATATGTTTTGAAATAAAATAATAAAATAATATATGAAATCCTCATTTATTTAAATAAAATAATATATGAATTCCTTATCTATTTAAATATAATCTAAGTACTCTTCAATTACTACAATTCAATATGGAAGAAAGGATTATTTTCAAACTCTTTTTAAATCTCACAGTCTCTATAAACTACCAAAATGTGGAACATCAGGCAAATTCCCATTTTGAATCCTCGTTGCCTTTTGTTGCTGCTGTTGATGTTGCTTTCCTTTATAAAAATTAGCAGAATACTGCAATTTATATTGCTTAACTACTTTACTAAAAACAATGTGGTACATTTTCAAGCAGCTTTCTCAGGAACAAAAAACTTCAGAAATGCCCTTATAGTTAATATGAGTCCATTTCTTCCACAATTAATTGTAAGGAACAGCATTTAAAAAACTATTTGAAAATAAATGTACAACATATTTACTTTTTACAACCATCATTTAAATGCCAGATAAATTATTTAAATGTTTCTTCCTTACCATGGCAAGAACCCTCAATTTCTTCATATCCTGTACTGCAGATACACCTTCCAAGAGGAACCAGCCAATCTCCATCAGCTCCACAATATAGTTTAGGAGTGTCCCGCTCTTCAGCACTCTTCACACAGGAGCCTCGTACTTCAACCAAAGAGGAAGAATCAACCCTTGGGATCGTATCAGGGAACATGGCCAAGTTACGAACAGTGAAGGGGCACTTTTTGTAGAAAACACGAACTGAGACCAGAGCAATGCATGCCCCAATGTCTTGAAAGGCCAGATAAAATCCTTTCCTTTCTATAGGCCCCACCTCACGAATTTCAGTGTTGAGTTTGAGGATGCGGTCACCCAAATCCATCTGGGTAAAACTCTCATCAGCAGCAATTGTGTCGATCTTTGTATACTGGCTTGGCTTGAATTTAATTCCATGGGACTCATCTGATTCCATATAATAGAGATTAAATGTTTCTTTGCAAGTCCCCAAGACCCATGGGATGCTGTTACAATCCCTCAGTGTGAACTTCATTTCCACATAAATTTTCTGAGCTGCATCACGGGAGATCCAGTTTGTACGAAGCCAGTTGTTTTGGTTTGGTTCCATTACATTACATACCTGGTATGTGTGAATGGGCCTATTGTGTTCATCCATTTCAGTGATGGCATCCCACTGAGAAAAGAAAAAAAAGAACAATTAAATGATTATAAAACCACAATGTTTAAACAGAAATGACTACTTCTAAATCTTTTGTTTCACTGAAAGAAAAATGGATAAAAATGATGAAATAAAGCTATTCAAAGCACCAATACAGCAACACTTTAACCATGAGCCTTTGGTTAAGAGTACAGGCTCTCGAATCAACTGTTCTGGTATCACTCTTGTCTTCCTACACATTAATTACATGACCAAGGGCAACTTTACTTAAACTCTAGCTTCCTCAACTGTAAAATATAGCTGATAATAGTACCTGTTTCATAGGGATGTTTAAAGCAAAAGTTAGTTAAATATCTGTAAAGCACTTAAAACAGTTTCTGGCACACTATACAAATTTAAAATAGCATCCATTACCTGATCACTACTACTAAAACTATGACAAATGCACTCTTGTTTTCCCATCTGTCCTCATATCCAATTTGCCACAGATTGAGGTATGTTTGCCAGTGTTCAAGTAAAATAGCATCCATTACCTGATCACTACTACTAAAACTATGACAAATGCACTCTGGTTTTCCCATCTGTCCTCATATCCAATTTGCCACAGATTGAGGTATGTTTGCCAGTGTTCAATTAAATATTTACCTGGCTATTTTGATAGAAAATAGACATAGATAAGGCCTTCGATTTATTCAAGAAATATTTATCAGGCACTATTCTGGACACTGGGAATATAGCAGTTAACTAGCTCAACAAAAACTCCCTTCCTTTATGGAGCATACCTTAGAGTGAGCAGAGATAATAAAAAGTATAAATGAATAAATTGAATAATATGATAGAAAGTCCAATGGGGGGGGAGGCAGAGAGATGGAAAAGAGGAGGGTTACAATTTTAAGTAGGATGGACAGCAAAGGCCTTACTGAGGTAGTGACATTTAAGCAATGTCTTAGAGGTGAGATAGTGAAACTTATGGAGAGAAAAAGGCTAAGTGCAAATACCCTGAGGCAGGAGTGCATGGGTATATTGTAGAAACAGCATGAGTGGGCACTGGAAGCATACTAGGTAATAAGGACAGAGAGTCAGAAAGGGCTAACCAAAAAGTCATATTACATGCATTTTAAGCCCTTTGGCTTTTTACTCTGAGCTAGATCACTAAATTATTTTCACTACTGCTAGTTTACATACAAGGATTCTGCCATTTAATTGCACAGAAAGACCTTGTTTATTTTTATTTTTTAGAAATTTAATAAAAATCTTTGAGTACCTTGAAATTGGTATTGTTGGTATTTATACTGACATATCTAACATTACATAATACTATAATGCAATATACTGTAATATCTAATATTGTATAATTCTATAATGTCAAGTTAGATTGTAGTTGTATTTTGTTTATATAGTTATAACTGAGAATTTTCAATAAATGAAAATAACATTCTGGTAACTTTATAGCCTTTTTGGGAAAACATCATAGTTTATCATTTCTATTAGAGTATACTAGAAATGATAAATGGTTTGTTATAGTGAATAAGTGTTATATTTCTTGATACCATATTTCAATGATTTATAATAAAATTATTTTACACATTCTGTTTGCAGTTTCTCTTTCTAATTGGCTGTAGAGAGTCACTCAGTCAAGGCTAGTTGAATTTCAATTCATATAGTTTTTAATAGAATGGTTACTTCCTTTGGTTATTAAGACTGTTATGAGAGTAAGTACTTTCAATTACCTACTGTAAATTTCTACAAATAATTTATCTTATCTATCAAGCAAACTTAAAAACAGTTTGTATCTACAAATTTCATTTGTAAATTGCTTGCTTGAAATTTAGAGGGTATTTTCCAGAAAAAAACCTGTAAGTTCCTTTGGAACTATGGATATAATTTTGCAAAACATGCCCATTATTTCAAATTTCATTTGTAAATTGCTTGCTTGAAATTTAGAGGGTATTTTCCATAAAAAAACCTGTAAGTTCCTTTGGAACTATGGATATAATTTTGCAAAACATGCCCATTATTTATTAGGGGTGAACCGATAATCTCATGGAGACTCACATGAAATTACCAATGAAATGACTTTCATCCTAGCCTATCACAGGTCTTATTTTACTCCTACAATTAAATTTGAAGGCAAACTGGTGCTATCACAGCTCATTTAAACTGCAAACTAGCCATTCAGAGTATAACCGTGAGCTAAGATGAAAATAATAAAATCTGAGAACTGTCAAAACTAATATTCAAAATTCTAAGCATTTTATCCATAAGAGAGCCTCTAAAATATTCATCCAGTGATTATTCTTATTTTGGACAAGTTTCTAATAAGAATTAATTTTGTTTCTCAAGGAATGTATATAATTATTATTGTCTATACTACACCCTTTACTTTCCCATATAGGAGGATAGAGCTATACTCCCATTAAATTCTGTTTCAATAACAATAGTTTAACACCTTCAGACTGTATCTTTTTATATTAGTAGGAAGTATTAACCATGCTTAAACAACCAACCCTCTTAAAACATGAGATTAACTAAAATGTGAAAAATTGTCTCGCTAGAAAAAAATTCTAAAATTATTACATTTATTTACTTAGAAAGATGTTGTTGTTGGCTCGGGGTGGGGAGACATTCAGATGGAGAGATGGGTCAGGAGTGAGAAGGATATAATATGCATTCACCAAATCAGGACTGATATGAACCAAGGAAAAAGAAAGTACCAAAATATACACAGCTAATTAGACTTGTGATTCTTCTCAAAGATGGTGCGTAACATTTCCACATTAAATGTGTGATGTTTGATGAACAATAGTATTCTTATGTCTCTCTTTTTGTTTTTGTGACTGGCCAGTATGGGGATCTGAACCTTGGTGTTATAGCACCACACTCTAACCAGCAGAGCTAGCTGGTTAGCCCAGTGTTTCTTCTCTCTTTAATTAAAAAAAAAAATTGGACTTAGACTCAGATACGAAAAAGTCAAAAGAGACCAATTGCTAAATTTCATCTTATCCATGAATATAGAAAGTAATTTAAATTAGATTATTAAATTTGATTCTAATTAGCTAAGAAAAAATTATAAATTCAAGATTGGTCTAAGATCTAAAAGGCTATAAAATTTACTATAAAATATTAACATCAGAAGATGCATAAATTACATCATATTTTATTCAAAATGTGTCCTTTGTAAATAATACATTTATACATAATTATATTTGTATTCATATAATTATATAAACTGTTAGTTATAATTTTCAAGTATTAAAATAAATAGGGCCTCTAAAAATCACAGGCCCATGGCAAACATGAAGTATGGGGGCTCACATACTATATGTCTAAATATTTAAAAATAATAAATCATTCTTTAAATAAGATCAACTTTAAATATGTTCCATTTACCTACTGTGCAGAGATATGTTCATAACAACCTGGAAGGCCAAGTTCATATTTAAAATACTTGGACTCCTCAGAATTTCATGCAAGCTATGGTGGTCAATAGAGAGCCTTACCCAAACCTTAGTAAATCACATTTCTATTGCCTTCCCTGACCATAGCTATATCCCTTACCATGAGTGGGATTCACACAGTACTTATCTGAGCAACGCAGCACTAATGCACAAGCTGTGCCCCTTCCATGACACAAAAAGTTGCTGACTCTGGCCCTCCATTCAACCTAGGTTGAGTACACCAGTGGCACAGTACATCCACTGGAGGATAGATTCCAGCAAAATCCATGAAGATTCTGAAAGTAGACTTGAGGCTATCAGAGCAGGGAATTGTAGTGTTTTGAATACCTATGGTATTGTATAGAAGGAAAGCAAAGAATCTAATTGGCCTATCTCCTTATCACTTGCTGTGGTTTTAATATACATCACTTAAAAATTCCTATGTTGGAACTTAAACCCCAAGGTGAAGGTGTTAAGAAGTAGGGCCTCTTGGTAAGTAATTAAGTCGTGAGAGCTACCTAATTCTTAGAGATAGCAAAGGGCTGGTCTTGGAGCATGTTTTTCACATGCAAACCAACCAATTCCATGTCTAAACCCCCAGCCACCTCCTTATCTAACTCTCACATACCAAGCCAATCTTTCCTCTGCCCTAAATCATGGCTACCTAATTCTTAGAGATAGCAAAGGGCTGGTCTTGGAGCATGTTTTTCACATGCAAACCAACCAATCCCATGTCTAAACACCCAGCCACCTCCTTATCTAACTCTCACATACCAAGCCAATCTTTCCTCTGCCCTAAATCATTCCAGGCCAGGAATCATGGAATTAGAGAACACCCTTGTAGACCAAAGTCCACTGGAATTGCTCAAACTAGCCAATCCTACATTGTTTACTCTGCCCTGCCTTGCCTTTCCTACAAAAAGACCAATGAAGGCTCTGGCCTGCACTTTCCCTCACATCTGTCTGCTACCATCTGATCAATCAAAACCTGGTCTTTTCCCTGCGGCTGTGCATGACAGGCACAGAACCTCTCTGGGACTTGGGAGTGTAATACTTCTTTCCAAGCCTTCTTCTTGTTTCCTCTTGTGGTCATATTAACTTTACCATACCATATCTAATATGTACATTCTTAGAATAAATAGTTATATGGGTCTTGAGACATTCTTCCTGTCAAACTTCTACAGGACAATTGATTCTTGCTTAACCAAAGGTGTTCACTGAGCAAGACACTCCAAGTGACAAAATGCTCATTCATCACAAGTAATTAATATATCCACTCCTTGGTTCAAATAAAAAAGCTTATAAAATTACCATAAGACAAAAGAAGCTTTTTGTTCTACTCTTCCAAGGCATAAGAACAGATATATTTTAAATGCTATTATATTAAGCGTGTATAAAGTCACCTTTAAAGGAATTCCCATCAGACTAACAGGAGATTTCTAAACAGAAATTCTACAAGCCAGAAAAGAATGAGATGATATATTCAAAGTAATAAAACAAAAGAACTGTCAGTCAAGAATACTATACCCACCGAGGCTGTCCTTCAGAAATGAAGGAGCAATAGTGCATTTCCCAAAC